AAAAAAAAAAAGAGGCCGGGCATGGTGGCTCACGTCTGTAATCCCAGCACTTTGGGAGGCCAAGGTTGGTGGATCATGAGCTCAGGAGATTGAGACCAGCCTGACCAACATAGTGAAACCCCGTCTCTATTAAAATACAAAAAATTGCCTGGGTGTGGTGGCACACGCCTGTAGTCCCAACTACTTCAGAGGCTGGGACAGGGGAATCACTTGAACCTGGGAGGTGGAGGTTTCAATGAGCCAAGATCATGCCACTGCATTCCAGACTGGCGACAGAAGACTCTGTCTCAAAAAAAAGAAACCACCAATTTTCCAAAGTGATTGTGACATTTTACATTTCTATTAGGAACGTACGAGATAGTTCCAGGCACTTCACAGCCTTGTTGACACTTAGTATTATTGTCTATTTTTTAATTTTAGTTATCTTAGTGGGTGCATAGTAGCACCTCGTTGTGGTTATAATTTGAATTTCACTGAGTGGAGTCTTGATAAAGAGTGTGTTCTTGAGGTTTTTCTTAAATTTTCTATAGGATTATAGCCATATACAATTGAAATTCATCTTTTATATTTTTAAATTTTTCTTTAGGTATCTTTAAGAGTGATTGAAGAGAATAATTCAAAATGCCTGAAAATCCTGCTACAGGTATACTGGGTATATTGTTCTCTAATTAATTAATGATTTAAAAATGGAATCTCAGATGGGACTTAACTGTTATTCTACTTATTCATCTTGACACAAGATAAACTGCAGGTCCTGCAGGTTCTTGATCGCCTGAAAATAAAATTGCAGGAGAAGGGTGACACATCGCAGAATGAGAAGTTATCTACGTTTTATGAGACACTAAAGAGTCCTCTCTTCAACCAGATACTCACACTTCAGCAGTCCATCAAGCAACTGAAGGGGCAAGTAAGTTACCCATCAGAGCTTTACATTAATATAGTATATTAATATATTCAAACCATCAAAGAAAGATAAAGGAGATAGACAAAGACAAATTATCTTTAAGGAATCAGTTCAGCAAAGAGACTGTATTGGGATCTGTAATCTGTAACCTGCGGGTAGCATTGGCATGGATAATTTTAAAATGTCAATAGTCAATTTTTTGTTTGGTAGCTGGGTGTGATGGCATGTACTGGTAGTCCCAGCCACCACACCCAGCTACCAGTCAGTCCTGGGTAGTCCCAGGAGGCTGAGGTGGGAGGATTGCTTAAGCCCAGGAGTTCCAGGTTGCAGTGAGCTATGATTATGCCACTGCACTCCAACCTGGATGACAGAGTGAGACACTGTCTCTCAAAAAAAAAATTGCGTTTGATTTTAGGATATAGTTTTTGTACTACTTCTTTAAGTATGTAAAGGTCAGATACTTTGAGAATTCTCAACATCTTTTTCAAAATTATAAAATAGTGCTTAACTTAAATATATTTTCTTTTTATTTTGAGACAAGGTTTCTCTCTGTTGCTGAGGCTGGAGTGAAGTGGTGTGATCTTAGCTCACTGCAGACTTGACCTCCCAGGCTCAAGCAATGCTCCCACCTCAGCTTCCAGAGTAGCTGGGATAGGTGTGTGCCACCACACTGAGGCTGATTTTTAAAAATTTTTATAGAGACAGGGTCTCCCTGTGTTGCCCAGGCTGGTCTCAAACTATTGGCCTCAAGCAGTCCTCCTGCCTCAGCCTTCTAAAGTGCTGGGATTATAGGCATGAGCCTCCTCGCCCACGCATATTTTCCTTAGGAAGTCTTTTATCTAACAAGAAGTGATCATGCCCTTATAGCACAATAATCACACTTATCTTAATTATCAAATATTTATTGTCTCTCTAATGCATATTCTCATTAGAAGTTCTTTGGAAGCAGTATACCTGATATTTAAATATATAGTTGTATTTCCTCTACTCATTTACCAGACTCTCTGGACTCTGCAGGTTCTAGCACATCACTATTGAATGAGGGACACATAGCGCTTCTTCTTCTTAGAGGGGTGCAAATTGGTAGTTGTGGGATTTTTTTTTTTTTGGTGCTGAGATTGAACCAGAAATTGTTTTGACTGTCCTCTTAGATTCTCTGTTTTAGAGTCAGGGATGGCAAATTACTTTTAAATCACCAATGCTGGAAGCTGAGCTTGAATAGTAGCTATACTATAGATGAAATTTGGGCAGAATTTAAAGCATAATCGGAGATAATTTATCAGGGTTATGTGAAAATTTACAAAATTTGGGAAAAAAGTGGTTTTTGCTCATAAACTAAAATGCTTGCCTATTAAGTATTTTCTGAGTGATTTGTTCATAGCCAATTAAGGATTAAACTCTACACATATGTCTTTCTGTGAATTGCTTTCTTTAAACCAGAATTTATACCCTAATGTTAACACTGACTATATTGATGTTTAGCTTTCTGTATTTCTCTTGGTCATAGAATATCATAATAGTGAATGCTGTTGGTAACAACCGAAATTGGCAGGGATCAGTAGAAATCCATCACATTTGTTGGACTAAGAGTGGATCTAACTAACCACCCTATCCTAATAGCAGTTCTTTATATTTGTATAGTTTGCAGTTGCTGTGTGCACAGTCATATTTTATCCATTCAGCTGTATAATCCCTGTAACCATGGGTTTTGATTCAGATTTTTTCTATGAGGTTTTATTGACATTCACTCTTTTTTTTTTTTTTTTTTTTTTTTGCCTTTTTTTAATTATA